TTCCCTTTATACGTTTTCCGTTTCTTGTTTTGCGGCGTTGTTAACCGAGTCATTCTAATTATATCGCGCCAGCTATACGCGTGTCTCTACTTCGTACATCTCGCAAGTATCCGGTCTGCTTTTATCTCCGGTTGCCGTTTTTTCTTTTTTTTTTTTCCCCTCTTTTATATCCTTCGCTTTAATCCCGTCCTTTACCTGTCCATCCCCCCGAGCGCTATGTCGATTCATTCTCGTCTCGGACTCTCAACGTTCGTCGTTTAACTATTTTCCAGTCGTAACTCTTTTCTCTGTTCCTTTCTCTAACTTTCAATCGTCCTTAACCCTAGAGTCAAGAAACGGATATTCGCTAACACTCGCTGTCGTTATCGTCACTGCGATCGTCGATTCCGGATGAATCTCAGTCGCCCGTGATTACGACATCTCTGCGAATTTTTCATTATCTTTCTCAATCTCGATTCTTTTATCTTTACTTTTTCCTCGTTATATGTTCTTTCCGTATCTTTTTTCCCCTTTTTCCGTTTCTTTCTTTGTTTGAAATTATTAAGAAAAAATGCCTCGTTTCGACAAATCAGCTATCGGACGGACGTGTGGACGTCGTTGGTGACGTCGTGGAAAAAACGGGGTCTTTCGTGTTTGAGAACGAACGTGTGATACGTGCGGTGTCAGACACAGGGGGTGAAGGTAGAGTGTGGTGGTGAACGGTGATGGGCTTGGGGGTCGGGGCTGGGCGGGCGGCGGCGGCGGCGGGGGGCAGAAGGGGGCAACAGGGGGTTAAATCGGGCGGAATAAAATATAGAATAATAATAATTGTAAGTGGTGGCAGGCGGGCAGCCCATCTTAGCAACCGCGGCATAGCAGCTAGCGTCTAAAAAATGGTCTAAACGGGACGGTTCGTGCGTATGTAATATATATAATATTTATATATATATATATATCCAAAATTGAACAAGATACTATTCTTCTACTTAGAGAGGAAACAAAAGTGTTCGTTCGTTTCGTCGTTTTCGTTACAAGAGCAGACCACGCTTCAGACAGCTTAAAGGCTAAAAAAGTAACAAGCAGGAGAACAGTGAGTATAATATAACTTGGTCTACACTCGGAAAAACGTAAGATCAGAACGATTCAGGCCGTTCAGAACGTGTGTGTATATATAATATATGCAAAGAAAGGTACTCATGATCGGTACATCAGAGATTCGACGAGAGGAAGAGTGAAAAAGAGAGAACGTTTGTGCCTTCTAGAAACTATGCGTGTAATACAGATACAAACCATCCATCGGACTACTATTCACGGGCCCAGACCACTATCACGAGCCGATCTCTATCTACGATTAAGATTCGATCCTTTCCTTTTTTCTGAGTGTAGCCTACTTGCTGGTTTGCGAGCACTTTCATCGTTTCGCACACGCGAAATAGTACTTTGTCCATTTTTGGTTCGGTGTCGTTCTTGTCGTGTTCCGTTCGTGGCCTCTCGCCACGTCGTGTTTCGTGTTCTCCGTGTCGGTGTGTTTCATGCACGCGCACAATTATTCCGACATTAACCATCGCGAGCTATCGCGATAACCAAGCTGACTCGATGCGCGACGTATATCAAGCTGATCGCACCTTTCGACCAAGTTAGGTTCCTCTCGTTAGTATCGAGAAGCTCGCAGTCGCGAGCCACGAGCGTAATATCGAATCGTTTGCCATTTAAATGCGATCTTATGCATACTCCATGATCCTTCGATCCAACGCTGGTGCTCGTTAACATGCGCGATCTCCGTTCGAACGGAGGATGTTCGATCCTCCCGATGTCGGGCGGGAAATTTTCTTAAAATTCATCGGTCCCGATTGCTTAAACATCGAACGTTATTTAAATCCGCACGCTGTTTCGCTTATCCCGGTACCGTGGCTCGAAACGGACGAACCAGGTTGATATCCGATTGTTTGCGAACCGACGAAAGCGTGACGATCTCGCCGTTATGCATTTCGGTTTTTCGCTAAGATAAAATCAACACGCGTCGCGGACGCGCGAGGCAAAGAAATTGAAAAAATTCGGCAAAGTAAATACAGGTTAAAAAAGAAAAAAAGAAAAAGAGAAGACAGCAAACAGAAGCTTAACTACTACCAGTCAGATCTTGCTCGGTGAACCCACTCGGAAAAACGAAGGAAATAAAAGGAATGCAAAGAACGGAGAAGAGAAATAAAGCGAAAAAGTAGGAAAAATAGGAAAAATATGAAAAAGAAGAATAAAGAGTTAGTTTGAATTTTTTCTTGCAAACCGATTCGCTCGGGGAGCACCGCGACGAGGAAGAAAAGGTCGGAGTGGACAATAAACGGGCGACGAGGTCTCTCTGATTAAAATTTCGCCGATTCCGGAGCGTCGATTGGCGTTCGATTCAGCGTGTCGAGGAATTGGACACGGAGCCGAGCGGAAGGTGCGCTCGAACAGTGAACCGTCTGATCGTAATCGTGTTACACGATTGTCGCGGCCGTTCCAGGCGTTCTCGCGAAACGAAGAGTAGATCAAAGGAGCACACAGCTCGAGGCGATGCGGTTCTGTGCACGGCAACCGAACTAATTTCATCGACGGAGCACCAATCGGCCCTCGACACGTACGAACGAGCGAGCGGTTGAGCGAACGAATGGTCGACGAACAAGGCTCCGTCCTATTCCAGACCCCGGGACCACTCTTCCTTTTCCCTTTGCCAGATAGAAGCGGATTAAACCTACGAATTTTCCGTGGTCGGACTGCGATTAATCGATTATCTCTTGCACGTCTCGAACCGATCGATCACGGCGACGTTATTGCTCGCTCGCTCAACCTCCAGTCGGTCGAGTAATCCGGAAAATCGTATTTAAAACCCCGAGTCGCGACTACCCTTGTAAATTTTCCTTCCCGATTTTCTTCCACCATTTCCGTTCACCGCCTCCCTCCGCCATCGACTCGCGAATATTCCGCTAGATTTCGAATATTCACGGTACTCGGGCAAGCGATTTTAGCCGGGTGCCGGGTGCGGGGGTGAAAGAAAACCGTATCGATGGAGTATGGTCGAACCCTTTTGGCGAACGTTATGCCAGGAACGAAAGACGGAGCTTCGGGGAGCGAATCTATGCATTCCTGTGCGCGTGCATGCATATCCAGTGTAAGTGTTTGCGAGTATGCCATTCGCGTGTTCGTTGTTTCGTGTTACGTTTCGGAGCGATTCCTTTGTCGCGTGTACGTGTGCGCGTGTGTAGGTTCGTGTGTACTTATATACCGTGTAGGTGTTTGTTCGTTCCGTGTGTCTGTGCATCGTGTCGGTATGTACATGGAAGATCGTGGCTGTAACGATTGACGGCAATCGTTGTTTCGAATACACGGGCACTAAAAAGAGAAGTGGTTGCTCGGGCAATGGGGTGGGGGATGTTTTAATCGAACGATCGAAATGATTAGTAATCGATTTTCAGCGTAATGACTGAGAGTAAGACCTAGAGGTATAGTACCATTTTCACTTCGGATAGCGAGCTGATACTCAAGACGTACATGGTGACGCCCACCTCGACAGGAGGACCTGAAATCGAAGGTTAGTCAGACTGAGTCGGCCGTTTCCGGCCGCGGACAAGTTACACGATGGGGTGACTATGGCTTTTATTTTTGTTCACTGATCGTTAACTTAGTATTCTTATCATTCTCGTTACGGTATCTAAATACGTATGTATGTATGGTATACTTGACTTTTTTTTTTTGCTTCATTTTTTCTTATATATATATATTTTTTTTTTTCATTTCATTTCGTGAATCTTTACTGTGAGTGTGGAATGTCATGGATATTGAGTGGTATCGCTACGTCGGATGGATCGCTGAAAGTGGTAATTACTCTCAATTAGAGGACCACCAGGATCATCGTTTCTCGATACGTGTGCTTGGTTATCTCTTTAGAGCTTCGTTGATACTTTGGACACGGTGCTGAAACGTTGATCGAATTCCGATGTCTTTTGTGCACGGAATAGTAGCTCTAGAAAGAAAGAACCTACCGATTGTAATAGCTCCACCGTTACGGTCAGCCTTCTTACAAACGTAAGATCTCTTTCCAGCAATCTAACCGCTCGATTCCATCCCCTTTTCCTCGTTCAAATGTCGCCTCGAGACTCGAGACTCTTTAACGACACCGAATATTCCTCCCACGCGATCGTTTCCGCCCCCTTGTTTCTCGCGTTTTGGAATACACTTGGTCGGAGGAGTTCAACGTTTCCGGCCACTTTGGCCACGCTTTGGCACGTTCGATGTCCGAGTATCGAGTCGAAATTGGTCGAGTATCGTCGCGAGCAGAACGGACCAGGATCTTGACAGCGAGCAGCTTCACGGCGCACGCAGGAATTGTGATTAGAATTTGAGAAAGACTCGGTCGCGGTGGTTTGCGAAGGTTGGTAGGGACGAAGTGAAAAATACGAGACCGGAAGGTCGGTCAAGGGAGAGGAACACGAGGGCAGGCGTTTTCGCGATAAAGTTGACTCGTAAACAACGGCTGTGCCAGCGGCATCGCGCGTTGCTCCGATATATCTTCATTTCCATTTCTGGGATGTTTTTAAAACCCTATAGCCGGTGAACGTCCCATATGGGACACATATTTCACAATGACGGGCCGGCGTACACGTTGCAAAACGCAACGGTGGTATCGGGTTAATTGAAATGCGTCGGTACGGCTTACCTCTCCGAGCCAATCGCCCATGAGAACGTGTTTAAAAAAAAGGAAAAAACACCGAGGCCGAAAAAACGAGAGAGAGAGAGAGAGAAAGATAGGGAGTTGGAAAAACGGAAAAATAGGGGGCGGTGGTTGAAATGAATCTCCGGCGAAAAATATCGATCCCGTCTGTTCCGATTCTACGTGTACCGAGGTGCACTCTGACGTTTTCCTCTAGGAACGTAAGGAACCGATACTTGGCGTTTTCCCCATGGTAACGTCTTCGCATTGTTTCGAACAATTTCTTCCGAACGAGTGCTGGTGGAAAGTGACATCATCCCGGTGTAAGAATTTGCTTCCTATCTTTTAGCCCGTATTCAAACCCGAAGATTTATATTCTGCTCTCCAGCTCGGATCTACTCGCTAGTTCCTCCATTGTTCCCCGACTTTGTCGACTTTTCTTTCAAACAATAACGAGTTTACCCTCGAGTTTGATACTTTGTATATTATCCTCAGACTTTTGACTACCTCCGACGGTGCGTTCCCTTTTTATTACCCTCGCTCGTTACCATCTATCACTCGTCTTTCCCCTCTCGGTATCGACCTCTCGACATCTCGATATTCCAGCTCTATTAAAATCAACCTCGAAACGAGTATACCCGGAACCGATACACCGTTACATCGAAGGTACCCGCGTCGCAACATTGTTACAGCTAACAACGAATCTTTACGCCCTCCATCGATCAGCGGTTTAACGAACACCCAAGGGCGCATCGTTGCACCGGAGTCCTTGAACTATATTGAATTACGTGGCCCACCCATCGATCGAATTGTTTGCTCGCTAATATACACGGGCATCCACGGGCTACGGCGGGTTTTAAGAAAACCGACCAGCCTTGTTTCCCCATTCTCACGGGGACTTTTGGCCAGACGAGGGTGAATCTCGAGTCCGGAAATCTATCAGTGCTGCGGAGAATATCGAACGAGGGCCGGCTACTCGAGAGGAGCCACGAGGATGTCTGTTTATCCCGCATTGGATGCAGGATATTCCGTTTCCTGTCCGTAATGTCCAGGAAAGAGCGGGAGCCATTTAAATTTTAAATGTTAAAACCTCGTATTCCACGGACCCGGTAAATCCAGTCTGTCCGAAGGCTGGATCCTCCATCGAGCCAGAGAGATCGACTATTCGAGACTTGACCGTTGAAACCGATACGATTCGAGGCGTTCGTGGCTTTGGCGAGCGCGCTAAAAATAAGAGGGGCCATTGAAAATTCTCCCCCGGGATTTATAGGCATTTTTGCCGGGTCGGCGATAAATTCGGGACGCGGGATATAATGCATCCCATCGGACGCGAAATATCGAGGCGAGCCACGAAAAGAGCGAACAACGAGTGTCGAATGAAATTCCGCCACCGCTTCATTTACCACGCGTGTTTCCCATTTTCCTACGCGACACCCGTGCGCCAAACTATTCCAATGTTTTCGCCACGTTCGACAACCGGGATACACGTGTCGATGTTAAATCGAAATTTAAAATTTAAAACGGTACGATACGCGTAGTATGCAGGATATACCTAGATTCTGTTGATAAAATCAAAAAAATAATTCAACGATTATCCGTGGGAAATATGGGTCACGTTGGCGCTAGTGAGTTCAATGGAAAATCCTCTTAAGGCCGTCATAGGCAACAAAAGATAAGCCAACGTGACATTGAAATTTTTGATCTCTCAATCAATGGTGATTTTGATTAATATTATACGCTTTCGGATATTTTCCGGGATCGATCGACTTATTCGTTTATTTACAATTCACGAGTGATCCCTTTATAGAGCTAGCAATTAAAGATAACGCGCGTAAACGAATACCCGGCACGCGCGAGTACCTCGCGGAATTTTTGCATTTCGCTGTCATTTTCTTCCCGCCCTCTCCCTCGTTTCTTTCTCTCGGCTAACCTCGAGAGAAGCGAGGGATACCTTGGTCGAATATTCAACGACGGAATCGGGATCTCGAAGGGGGTCTGTGCGGTTCTAAAAGTAGCCTAGAATAGCAAGAAAATCGATCGTCTGAGGGAAAACAAGGGAACCGATAGGGAGCTGTTTCACGGAGTAATTCGCGCGGTCGGCACACTTTTCGGAGTCTGGAATTTCCCGGCATTGTCTCCCGCGGGAAAAGAGCAAGAAACCGCAATTGTGGCATGCCTCCGTGGGTCACCGTGGCTCGCGGCCAGCGTCAGGAGTCGGTCCTGGAACTGTCCCAGCGTGGGATCAGCCCAGGAATGAAAATGAATGCGCACGTTCGAACCGGCGGCGAATAAATAAAGCGTGTTGCTGTTTACTCTTTTCCCCTACCCTGGACACGTTCGCGGATAGAACCGTACGAAATTTTCCGTCAGAATTCCCACGAACGATCTCGTTAGCCTCTGTTTCGCCGCCAAGGCGTGCCCTTTCTTCTCTGCCTATTGCTCCTCCCCGTGGATAGGGTTTAAAGTTCCACCACGATACTTTCTCCACTTTCTCGAAGGATCACCGGGTCTAACTCGACGGGTCGAGCTTCGTCTTATCGGTTTGTTTAACAAGCTGCGATTAAAACAATCCGGATACCCGTGAATAATCGTTGGAAGCTTTAATCCTAAGTGGAAGCTAATTGCTCCTCGGTTGGACCGATCTCGGTTGACCACCGATTGGCCGACTAACTCGAGTGTTAATTGTTCGGCTGATCCGAATACCGATCGAATCACCGTGCCCTTAAATATCGATTTCGAGCAAGAAGTCTAACCGTTTCTCGTTTCGCTGATCCGATTGGTCGGAAATTAACTATCCTCGGTGCTGTCCCGTCGACGGACTGTCCGGAATACCGATTGATTTCTTACGTGTCTCCGTTAGAGGTCCGAAAACCTAAGAAATCCCGATTGATCCTCGACCCTGGGTGGGATCGTGGACCAGATGGTACGGTAGGTAATCCTGATCGAAGCAGGCAGGTTCCGTCGCATCCTCGAAGCACGACACGCGGCTCAGGGATTACCTCGAGGAGGTCCGCGTGATCGAACCTTCCTCGAGAGGTTCGCGAGGACGTGCAGGGTGACACGCGAGGAAAACTGACGGAATCAAGGTGGAAATCGGAATCGAAGGTGAAGAACTGTGTGGCGGAGGAGCGTGGCCAGAGCAGAGAGATGCCGTTAACGGTAACCCGTGGCAACCCGTGCCGCGTCCCAGCATCGATCCAAGTTTTATCGAAGCGCTCCAGCCCCGCCCTGCCTCCACGGGGCCGGCCGAAAATTCGACTTTATCGCGGGAATTGAAAACGACCGATTCGCTTTATGGACCCCGAACACGGCCGATTCCATTCCATTCCATTCGACTCGATTCGTTCGGAGCGTAAACAAATTTTAGCTATCGGTTACTTGCGCGTCAGCTGGCATCCCTTGTCTAGCTGGCTCGCAGCACGGGGTAACTTTCCTCTGAGACCGTTTGCATCCCCGGCATACCGGCAACGATCCGTAGAGCACATACCGCGGAGATCGTTCGACGTTTGGTCCTCTTTGCCTTTCGAGGCAGTCGCCTCGACCCAAGATTGATCCTAATTCGAGGGATGAAACCCTAGAAGGTCTATGATCCCACCGAGAAGCATCGCGTTTGTCCAAGTTCGAGATCGTTTGTTATCCCCGGTCGTTGTTCGCTCGAGGATCGGAACGAGCCACCAAGAGGATTTTTCATCCCTCGTGCTCGCTCCTGGCCCAACTTTTTCCCCACACGGCTCAGCACACCCTCGCGAGCTCGCTCCCCATTGTCCCGAATATTCTTCCCCGTATCGTCTGCGACGAGAGCGTAAGCGGCGTGAAAAATATTTCCCGAAGCGTGTTCTCCACCTCTTCCGCGTCTTGTCGCCGCGTTTTCAACCCTTTGTCGCGTACCGATCAACGTTTCCGGCTCGGGTTCGTTCACTGTCCCGCCGTTTTCGCGCGCTCGCTTTTCACCCGATTAAAAACACTCTGCCATTTCGGGCCCTCGATCGTGCCCACGCTCGCACCCGGTCGAATTGCAACTTCATCCTTCGCCGTTCGTTTTCCCCATTCCCGATTCTGTCTGTTTGTTTCGCTCGTTGCGAAAGCCGCGTTTCAGCACCGCTATCCAGCCACTTTGGTCGCGAATTACATTCCACTTGAATCCAAGCACACGCTGCAATATTCGTTCGATGCTCGCAGCGAACGAAGTCGGACGATTTCGAGATGCATCGCGTCCCGAGTTTCCACTTTTCCTTTTCCCCTTTTCCCCTTTTCCCCGATTAACGCTCGCGCTCGGCGACGATGATACTTCGTTCGCTGCGGAACAGACTCTCGATACGCCCAGTCCGTGCAACGACTATCAGAAATGCGACGAGTAAGCAGGTATATGCGAAGGTAATCGAACATCGTAGGCAAAACCTGATTCTCTCTATGGCGTTGTTAGGTTCGTTAGTCAGGGCAACGATAATTAGTCTGGCGGCGGCGTTAGTCGCGTCGGTTGTTGTTCCAGTGATTGCGGTTTTGCGCACGATATATCGACGCTACCACAGAGAGTGGTCGAATGATCAGACTATCGATAGGCAGGAGAGAAAAAAAAAAGACGTCGTATCCCCTACTCACCTCCGTAGTTCGGCCTTACTCTTTTATCGTAATTGACGGAGAACGAGTCCAATATCGCCGAGATGTTGACGTCGTTCAGCATACTGCCTCCGCCGGTTCTGCAATATAAAAAGGATAACGATTTTGAGAAAACTTGCGCCGCCATAAAGAACTCAGGGGGGTTGGGGGTTGGTATGGAACCGATGGTGCGGCATGGGACAACGCCGGTGTGCACACAGACGCGGCAGTACTTTTAATACGACCGACGTGCCGCGAGTTACGATACACGAAGGGAGAGGGTACAAAAGTCCGATGTTTAAGCCACGCCGAGGATATTAAAGTTTCATCCGCCATGGCGAAGTTTAAAAAAGAATTTTACAGCCCTTCTGCACGCGTACCGTTCGCCACGAACTGCGTTTTAATTATGAAAGAGCGATGCGACTATAAATTTAGGACAGCGACTCTTCTTTCTTCTCCTTTTTTCGTCTTTCCACTTTTTCCCCTCCCATCAACCCCCCTTTCTTCCTCGCGCACGATGCAACGAGCATACCTAGTGGCTCGAGCTGTTTATTTTCCCTCATTTTTTCCCTCCTTTTCCTTTTTGTTTCTCATAAACGCTCGAATTCGTATGCATCAACAAGGAAACGCGTTTAGTCCGTGAGCCGTGGGTATCTGTATGTAACGTTGAACGGAATTGTGTGTCAAGCGAAACGAGCGTGTGCCTGATCCGCGCGGCTCAACCGCGTTTCCCGGGTTAAACGAAAAATATGCTTTTGACGCTTACAAGCGGTTAACGCGTTTAAATGGTCAATGACGTGAAAAGGCAAGAGATAATTATATTTCAGAGCCGATGCGCCAACGGAGTTTGTCATTGAAATATTATCCGTCGACCGAATTTTATTCAATGACGTAATCCTCCACCGCCATTCCGCGTATTTCCACTTTTTCCACCGTGTTTTTCCGCCCTTTCCACGTCTCTTTTTTCCTTCTATTTCGTTGATAATATCGAAAGAGTAGGTTTAAATGTTACCGATATCGTTACCGCTTCTCAAAGTTCACAGTGTCCGTTAAATATCGCGTTATACCCTTACGTTTTAATTAATATACCCGATCAGGTATGACATAGAAAAAAGAAATATTCAAATTTAATTCCACCGATTAAATTTCCACCGCGTACGAGACTAGCGTTTTTCCCAATAATTATTTCCAAAGGCGCACATACACGTGCACATACTCGCGCACGTACGAAAAGGAGGACGGAAAACAGATGCCCCTTTAATATCCAACTTAGCTTAATAGCTTTTTCATATCCGAGGTTTCTCCAATAGCGGATAATTTATCGTCCCTCCCTTATCTCACGTTTCCCAGAGATTTCCGCCGATCGCGAAGACATCGCGACGGTTTGTGCAACGTATTCGCGCACCGAGGGATGCAATATGCTAGGTTAGACGCGTAAAATGCAGAGCGTCTGGGTTTGACTTAACGGGTCAGCAGATATGTGCTCGGTGGGCCAATCAATCGGCTCGGAATCAACGGATCCGATACAATCCTGCGATACTTGACCAAAAACCCTCCCCTAACAGCCTTGTTAACCGGGGAATCTTTCGCGAGTAACCTCTGTAACCGTGACTCGTTCGATCGATCGATCGGGATCGTAGGTTAACGGTGACGACGCGGTATAGCGATCTTCGTCGGGCGCGATGGGTCGCTCGATCGAGATACGGGGTGAAATAAATGACCGTACGCGTGATAAAGGTAACTTACCGATGCTACAATGGCGGATGGTAGCGAGAATTTGCGCGAGCTTCAATTATCACGGATCAGTTCGACGGTATCGTGGAAATTCGAGCGACCTTCCTTTCACTGTTAATCGATGTCTTGTTCCCGATTGCGGTTCGCGTAGTTACCGTAGTTGTACACCGAGTGTTTCCAGAATTTGGTATTCCACGGCACGCCGCGTTTCACGCCCTCTTTTCTCCCTTAATCCGCAGAGATTTCCCCGCGCGCATTCGTACCGGATGCTGCAGCTGCCGATCCACGGTTTCATGCGTGTTCACGAGTATCGGGGATTTTTAGGTCTAGGGAGTTTAAAGGGGCAACAGAGTTGAAGGACTCTGATTGATTCGAAGGTTGCCGGAATTTTGCAAGTTTCGAGAGCACTGCCGATTCCGCGAGTTTCACGAGGCATCGGGGGCTTTCTGGCATTCCGAATGTCTCTGAGGGACATGGGGTTCCACCGTTTTTAACGGTTTACGATATTTTTGGATACTTATAGCTTCGGGGATGGAACCCAGTTCTCAAAGCTCGATGAGATTCGCAAGGTTCTGGATAGCTTTGGAATTTTTTAATTACGACTCTCGACCGAAATTAGCGTAAATCTTTGAATTCTTGAATTCTAGAAAATTTGGGCTTAGCATCGTCCCATCCCTTAGAAACTCTAGCACGGGATTTTTCAACCCCTTTCCCCTATTTTCTTCGCATCCTAAAAGTTTGAATTTGTAAGGGCACATATAGATCTCCGTACGATATTCTTATAACATATGCACAGCCATTAACGAATACTTTGAGTTATTTTAGGTTAGATGCATCGCTTACTCCATTTTAAATATGGAAAAATTGATAGTCTTAATTTAGAAGTAAGATATAGAACGCGACGCGTCTCTGCTGAAATATCCCCCGAATAAATATTTTCTCGTAAGTCCAAGCAATTTTCGTCAGTTCTCGCGAGTGATCCTATTTCCTCTGTTAAGAAATCCTGTTTTAGAACAGTCGAAACGAAATCACGAAACAGGATCACCGAAATTTTGATCACACTCTTCGAACCCCAGAAGAAGTCTTTCGACCGTTCTGAATTCGTCGATACTCGTAATAACTTCTGGAACCTTTGGGATCAGCCTGTCTTGGTCCCGAGAGTTATGGTAATCCCCCGAAACCTTTGTAACCCACGAATTCTCCGGGACTCTCGAAACTATCGAAACTTAAAACACCCTTCGAACTTCTCAGCAATTCCTAAATCTTCCAACGTATTATTATATCTTCGTTAACCCTCGGCATACCAAGATACACTCCCCTAAAACACCCCCTTGCTTCGTCATCGTAACTACCACTATTTCCATTCTTTATTCCAACAAACTGTCAGTGTTTATCGTAACCAAACGTTTGTTCGATTCGATTTCGCGACGAATTATTTTCCTCCCTATATCCTGGGTCAAAAGTTTGCAAATTCCGATATCGTTACCTCTTTGCACCCTCGTTTCGGGGGAATTTCACGGGAATCGTTATCGGACGTTCCTTGGAAGGCTTAGCCCGTGCGTGAGGATCCATCGAGGGAATATCCGACTATCGCGTAAAAGTGTGCTCGATGCATCGTTTCCCGTGACATTCCGCATGCGAGATTTTTCGATGAAAGAACGGCAACCGTTCTCTCTGCGAGCAGAGAGTCGATCCGATGGCTGGAAGACCGCGCGTGCTGGTCGGCGTTCTACTATTTTTAAAAGAGATGGCTGACGAGTGCACCGGGCGGAAGTGCCTTTGACCGTACGTATGTACCCAGGGGGTAGGGGGTGGCGATTTATCGAACAACTCCCAGAACCCGCTGTGAACTAAATCTTGCGCAACGATATCTACGAAGAACTTACCAGCGGTCTGCGATAATAGGTCAGAGGTTAGGCGTATCGATTAGACGCAGATACCCGCTCTTAGAACAAGGGTGCGAATACCACCGACGGTGCTACGAGCGTGTAGATACACGCTCTGCGCCAGAGTGCAGGTGGATACTCGTTTCGCGGATAACGACAAGCCTCGATTCGTTTATATTAAATTACACCTGATGGTATAATTTCGGTAGTCGCGGTAGCGTTGCAGCGTGTCTAATGAACAGCGAACCCAACGAACACTCGGCGCGCAGAGAATACAGATACGTCATAATCGTCGGGTACGTTATCTCGCCGAGCGATTACGCGTTGCCGTAATGTACTTGTAATCGTTGTCCATCGAGGTGGTATTTAAAACGACTGGAATCGCGAATCGGGTAATTATCTCTGGTCGGTATCGAGATTGCGCGAAGGGAAGGAAAGAAAATGGGTGAAAAAAAAGGGGGAAGATATACGCGTGTGTATATATACGTGTATATATACCGTCGGTGGAGAAACAGTACGCTGGAGGCGACGTTAATTGCACGGAAAGTGCCAAAGTGCCGTAAACTTCGAAGCACGGTAAATTCCGGCGGATTAAATGCGCTAGGAAGTTCGCGGCGCGGAGTCACGTGTGATTAATTCGCTCGCCGCCGGAAAGTTTCCCTTTATATAAAACGTCCCCGGGACGCAGGTATTTCGCCGATGCGAAGAAGTACGAATTTATCCGCGAAAATATCCGCGTGCCCGGCCGCTAAGTCGTTATTTAAATTTCGCCCAGCCTTTCACGGCTCTCGCCCTTTTCCCCATTTTCTTCGCCGTTTCTCTCTTCTCTTCGCTCTTTCCCCCTTTTCCTTTCCCCTTTTTCTCTCCTCGGTGTTTTCGCTCGAGAGGAGACACCGCCTACAGGCCCCTTTAATCAACTTCGACTCGGGCGATCCATAGTCTCTCGTTGTTAACGGAGACGGGAAAAGGGCAGAGTGTCCTCGGCGGATGACATTTTCGATCGGTCGGAATATTCGGAAGACGTCCGCCGGGATGAGTGACTGGTCGCAAACGGGGACCAAAGGGTGTCCCTCGCGCATGAAACGCGTACCAGCCTTTTGTCAGCTCGCTTCAGAAATGTCACTCCACCGCCCACGTTTTCCTTGCCGACGACCGTTCCAGGCCCTTTGAAGAATTACTCGCGCTCGTTTATCCCGGGCTTCTTCGTTTTTATTCCCGCTGCCGAGCGAGTGTCGTTGCTCGATCTTCAATGCTCGTAAAATATCTCCAATTGCACTGGCGGAAGCTTCCGCTAAAGCGTAATTTCCCAGCATCGCCGAGGACCTACCGTCCCTCCGAGGTTGGAGATCTATGGCGCGAGCGTCTATTAGCGTATTATTAAATTTTTCCACCAACGGCATTATTACTCTATTCGGGGCAAAAATATCCTCTCGAGTTTGAGAAGCTGTCGTGGTTCGAAGCACGTGAAATATTTA